TGAGGACTCAACCGTTCAGCCAGTTTTCTTTCCAGGGCACTTGTCAATTCAGCACCCTAGGAGAGAAGACTAAAACTGTAACTAGAAAACTCTCTGAAGGCAGAATGAGATTTTGTATGAAATGCAAAGAGTAGAGGTTGGAACTGGTCTGGATAATTCATGTTTTCAACTTGAACCAAGTCAAGGTCAGATGCTTGTAAGGTCTTGAGAGAATCCTGACACAACTCAGCAGCTGTTTGGATTAGAGTGACTGTTCTACATATTGCATTATCCAACCAAGAGCAAAGGGTGAGCTCCTCATAGAAGAACATAAATGTCCAACCATTGGTAGGTGCATGTCACAAAACTCAATAATATAAAGAAAACCAAGAGGAGAAAAACAGCCCAATTACCTGTTGAAATTCACTAACAATGTCATTAAAATAAGAATGGTTAATACTTTTGAAACATGGATCAATTAGGCAAATAAATAAAAGGACAGTTTCTTAAAAGAATTGAAGTCTAAGACTGAAAGGCAATTCCATAATAAAACTGCTTCTATCATAAAACTCTATGAATGGCAAAACATCATAAAATAAATGAATATAAAATTAGTGGACAGAAGGCATGTTGATATGAATTCAATGAAAATGAAGGCACAACTTACTCAGACTTATGGGGCATAATGAAAGCAGTGCTAAGAGGATAGCTCATAGCACGAAGTGCCTTCAGAAAGAAAATCGAGAAATCTCACATAAGCAACTTAATGGCACACCTGAAAGTACTAGAAGAAAAAAGAAACAGACACATCCAAGAGAAATAGACAGCTGGAAATAATCAAACTCAGAACTGAAATCAACAAATCAAAAAACACAGAGAAGAATTCAAAGAATCAAGGAAACCAAGAGCTAGTCATTTGAGAAAATCAGCAAGATAAACAAACCCTTTGCCAAACTAACTAAAGGGCAGAGAGACGCTATCCAAATCAACAAAATCAGAAATGAAAAGGGAGACATAACAACAGATACTGAGGAAATCCAAAGAATTTTTAGTTCCTACTTCAGAAGCCTATATGCCACATAATTTGAAAATCTATGTGAAATGGACAAATTTCTTGATAGATTCCATATACCAAAATTGAATCAAGATCAGGTAAATAAATTAGATAATCCCATATTCCATAAGAAAACAGAAGCTGTTATCAAAAGCAAAGGGTCAGATGGTTTCAGTGCAGAATTCTATCAGATCTTCAAAGAAGATCTAATTCCAATACTCTTCAAACTATTTCACAAAATAGAAAAAAAAGGAGCATTACCAAATTCATTCTATAAGGCCACAGTCACCTTGATACCTAAACCACACAAAGACCCAACAAAGAACAAGAATCTCTGACCATCTCTTACATGAACACTGACACAAAAATACTCAATACTCAGAAACCAAATCCAAGAACTCATCAAAGATTTCATCCACCATGACCTGCTTTATCCTAGGCAGGCAGGGGTGGTTCAATATATGGAAATCCATCAATGTAATCCACCATATAAACAAATAAAAGAGAAAAAAAACATGATCATCTCCTTAGATGCTGAAAAAGCATTTGACAAAATCCAACACCCGTTCGTGTTTAAAATTTTGGAGAGATCAGTGGTACAAGGCACATACCTAAACATAGTAAAGGCAATATACAGCAAGTCTATAGCCAACATCAAACTCAATGGAGAGAAACTTGAATCAATCCCACTGAAATCAAGGATAAGGCAAGACTGCCCACTCTCTCTGTATCGCTTCAACATAGTACTGGAAGCCCTAGCTAGAGAAATAAGACAGCTAAAGGAGATGAAGGGATACAAATAGGAAAATATCACTATTTGCAGATGATATGATAGTATATGTGAGTGACCCCAAAAGTTCCCAGGGATTTTACAGTCCTCTGTCTCTGTGGAAACACACAAGGGAGACTGTTACTTGATAACAAAAGAAATGAGCTATCAGGCTACAGAAAGCCATTGAGAAACTTAAGTGCACATTTGTAAGCCATAGAGCCTAAGCTGAAAAAAAAAACCCAATAGTGTAAAATTCTGACTAGAAAGGCAAAAAAAAATATGTCAGTGATTTCCAAATATTCCAATAGAAAGGGAGAGAGAAAATGATAGATTTAGAGGATGGGAAGACAGTGAAACTGTGATATTTGAAAAGAAATATGTGCACGTGGGATTAAATTTATCCATGCCTATAGGCAGCAAGAGGGAACCTTAGTTTCAAAGATGGACTCAGTAATTAACAGGCAGGCTCTTCCACTGAAAAAAATGTACCTGTCTGAGAGATTGAGCTATAATGAGGAAGGTTGCACATGCTGTGGTGTCACCAGCCAGCAGTGACACCTGAATACCACCTGAGAGAGGGCTGGAGAGAGAGAGAGAGAGAGAGAGAGAGAGAGAGAGAGAGAAGGACACCTTGTCTACATGCTGATCAAAGTGTCAGTTTAATGGACGTCAGGTTAACACTTAAGTAGGCAAAAAAGTACAAGCTGTTTCTCACACAGGCAATTTTACTTAGCCAAAACATAAGAGGGCTTACTCAAGGTTACACAGAACCCACTGTCTGGTTACCATGGTTACATGGAATTTATGGTCTAGTTCTCAGGGCCTGAGCCCTCTTCTGCCAAGGTCAATCTCTTAGCCACCAAGCTTTATATAGGAACAAGCACCAAGAGGCTGAATTCCCTTGTTGAGATGCGCACGCCAATTTGCCAATACCTCCAAAAAGGCTGCCACAGTATGGGCAATCATTTCCCAGTCATTTTCTGTGATTCTAAAACTACTCATTAAAAAAGGCATGTTTATTTCAAAAAAATGAGACTTTCCTCTCAACAAAATCTGTAATGAGTCTGGAGTAATGAAAACAACAGAGTACTAGATGACCATGAGAGAGAGAAGTGGAACACGGGGGCAGACATGTAACCACCTTGCTATGGTACAGTGAGAACACATCAGGAGGGGCACATCACCTTTGTAAAATGGTGTGTAGGCATTTGGAAGTCAAGAACACCAACCTAACTCATTCAAAACATATTTCAAGTGTATGATATGTTTGTGTCTGAAAAGGAAATTTTTTAAATGTACACACATTTTTTTATGAACTCGAGTAATGGAAATTTAAAAGTGCTAAACAAAACTGAAAGGTATTACCAAATAAAACTAAACACAATTAACATGTTTTGTTGATCAAAGCACAATTATCAACAAAATTTAAGACACACAGTGGGAGATATTTGAGCATATATACCTGAAAAAGAGATTATAAACAGAATGTATGAGATATTTTTTCAAACCTACAAGCAAACAGAAGCCCCATATCAGGAAAAATATATGAGACATGAACAAGCACCTCGAAACAACATAACCTGATGGCCCATAAACACGGAAGTGTGCATAAATTCATGAGTGACAGACAAGCGCTAATACATTTACACTACGGAGGCACCACACACTAAAGTGCAAAAAATTGAGAGGAAACACCAAATGCTAACAGGGATACGAAGCAACTGGAACGCTCACGCTTCGACAGTTTTAGTAAAACTAACATGAAAAAGTACTCATCTTTGGAGAAGTAAAGTGACCAAAGAGTAGAAGGCTAAGTTCTCTTTGAATCTGGCCTATTTTAAATACTACGTAAGTGAAGCTAAAAAAAAAAATGAAACATACAAATTCATTGAATTATGTAATTATGACTTTTTCTTCCTTTTGGATGTATGGTATGTTGCAAAGCAAATATAGAATGTATAAATCAATTTTATAAACCAAGACAAGAAAGTGAATTCATATACTCAGTACTCTTATGGGAAAATATTAATTTATCCTTATAGCAAAAAAAAATTAGTTTACCAAAATTATATTTAGAACTTTCAGATGCTAAGAACTGACCTTACAATTCAGGTTGCATGTGTAAATTACAACAATACTGAAACATCAAGGTTAAAATGTGGAGTGAAATGGGAAAATGAACTGCAAGATCAAATAAGAACGCTTGGTGGCGCTGCAGGCTAAGAATATCAAGATTGGACTCTGCGGATGCCCAGGAAGCCATCTCATTAACCCGAAAGTCAGAACTTTGGAAGGAAGCTTCTGAAAGAGGAGGTAATTGGGTAGGGTTTATGGAAGAATTTGGGGGAAACGCATCTCCAAAATTGGATTGAGTCTAGTATCTTCACGGACCTTCATGAGTGGATTGAAATCGCCTTGAAGAAGCAACACCCTCTGGGCTGAATCTGAACAATGGAGACAGCACCAGCAAAAACGCCACAGCAAAGGCAAGTCGTTTTTCTTGTTATATTGCTGTTTTTGTGGGAGGCTGGCTCTGAGGCAATTCGATATTCCATGCCAGAAGAGACTGAGAGTGGCTGCTTGGTGGCTAACCTGTCAAAAGATCTGGGGCTCAAGGTTGAGGAGCTAGCCACTAGAGGCGCGCAAATCCACTATAAAGAAAACAAAGAGCTCTTGCAGCTGGACACCGAGACTGGGATTCTGTTCTTGAAGGAGAAACTGGACCGTGAGGCTCTGTGTGGGGAGACAGAACCCTGTGTGCTGCACTTCCAGGTCATACTGGAAAACCCTGTGCAGTTCTTCCAAACTGACCTGCAGCTTACAGATATAAACGACCATTCTCCAGAGTTCCCTCACAGGGAAATGCTCCTAAAAATCCCTGAGAGCGCCCAGCCAGGCACTGTGTTTCCTCTGAAGGCAGCTGAGGACCCTGACATAGGGAGCAATGCTGTTCAGAACTACACAGTCAGCCCCAACCTCCATTTCCACGTTGTTACTCACAGTCGCGCAGATGGCAGCAAAAACCCAGAGCTGGTGCTGGACAGAGCCCTGGACAGGGAGGAGCAGCCTGAGCTCACTTTAACCCTCACTGCTCTGGATGGGGGGACCCCTCCCAGGTCTGGGACCACCACAGTGCGCATTGAAGTGGTGGACATCAATGATAACGCCCCCCAGTTTGTACAGTCGCTCTATGAGGTGCAGGTCCCTGAGAACAGCCCCCTCAATGCCTTAGTTGTCAGGGTCTCTGCCAGGGACTTAGATGCTGGGATACATGGTGATGTAGTCTACTCTCTGTTCCAAGGTGGTAGAGCATCTCAACCATTTGTAATAGATGAAACCACAGGAGAAATTCGGTTGAGCAAAGAGTTGGATTTTGAGGTAACCAGCTTTTACAACATAGAAATTGAAGCCACAGATGGAGGGGGCCTTTCAGGCAAATGCTCTGTGGCTGTACAGGTGTTAGATGTGAATGACAATGCTCCTGAATTGATCATTAGGAAGCTCACAATACCAGTCCCAGAAAATTCCCCAGAGACTGTAGTTGCTGTTTTCAGTGTTTCTGATTCAGATTCCAGGGACAATGGAAGGGTGGTGTGTTCTATTCCAAATGATCTCCCATTTCTCTTGAAACCTACTTTCAAGAACTATTACACCTTAGTGACAGAGGGCCCCCTGGACAGAGAGAGCAGAGCCGAGTACAACATCACCATCTCCGTCTCCGACATGGGCACACCCAGGCTCACAACCCAGCACACCATAACAGTGCAGGTGTCCGACATCAACGACAACGCCCCCGCCTTCACCCAATCCTCCTACACCCTGTCTGTCCGCGAGAACAACAGCCCCGCCCTGCACATAGGCACCATCAGAGCCACAGACTCAGACTCTGGCTCCAACGCCCACATCACCTACTCGCTGCTGCCGCCCCATGACCCGCAGCTGGCCCTGGCTTCCCTCATCTCCATCAACGCAGATAATGGGCAGCTGTTCGTGCTCAGGGCGCTGGACTATGAGGCCCTGCAGGCCTTCGAGTTCCGCGTGGCCGCCACAGACCAAGGCTCCCCTGCCCTCAGCAGCCAGGCGCTGGTGAGCGTGCTGGTGCTGGACGACAATGACAATGCGCCCTTCGTGCTCTACCCTCTGCAGAACGCCTCTGCGCCCTGCACTGAGCTGCTGCCCAGGGCGGCAGAGCCCGGCTACCTGGTCACCAAGGTGGTGGCAGTGGACCGCGACTCTGGCCAGAACGCCTGGCTGTCATTCCAGCTGCTCAAGGCCACGGAGCCAGGGCTGTTCAGCTTGTGGGCACACAATGGCGAGGTGCGCACCACCAGGCTGCTGAGTGAGCGCGATGCCCCCAAGCACAGGCTGCTGCTGCTAGTCAAGGACAATGGCGATCCTCAGCGCTCTGCCAGTGTCACTCTGCATGTGCTGCTGGTGGATGGCTTCTCCCAGCCCTACCTGCCTCTGCCAGAGGTGGCGCGCGACCCCGCTCAGGATGGTGAAGATGTGCTCACGCTGTACCTGGTCATCGCCTTGGCGTCTGTGTCTTCACTCTTCCTCTTGTCTGTGCTGCTGTTTGTGGGGCTGAAGCTGTGCAGGAGGGCCAGGGCGGCCTCTCTTGGTGGCTGCTCTGTGACTGATGGACGTTTTCCTGGCCACCTGGTGGATGTCAGCGGTACAGGGACCCTTTCCCAGAGCTACCAGTATGAGGTGTGTCTTAAGGGAGATACTGGAACAAACGAATTTAATTTTCTTAAACCATTATTTCCTAACCTGCAGACCGAGGCAGCTACTGAAGAAAGGAAAAACCCTGTTGTGCGCAATAGCTTTGGATTCTATTAGCTTATTTTGATGTGGCGTTTACCTCGTTTCTCCTTAACTCTCCCTGACAATATTTATAGTGCATGAAACGATCCCGAGGTATATGCTCAATTTATTTTTTTGTTTTAATAGAATCAGGTGTGATTCTATTCTAGAATGTTTGAGTCTACTTCATAATGTTTGTTTATATTTCTATCCTCTTCTAATGCATGCTGTTTTTTAATTATTATATTTTTGGTCTTTTAAGTTCTGGTATTTGCTGTAAGGAATCAGAACTGCTTTCATTGTTAGTGGAGCCCTTTTTCTTATTTGAGATAGGCTCTGGATGATATGGAATGGTTATGTACAGACTGACTTCAAATTTATGATGCTCCATCTGCTTCCATGGCCCTACATGATGGAACTATGAGCATGGTCAAGCAGGCTCAGGTAGGAGAACTGCCTTAATAAATAAAAGTCAAATACTACTTGTATTTTCTGTGTATTCTAGCCACCTTGTTTCTTGACAGTCTACTTGATGGTAAGTTGAAAATGAAAACTGTTTTACAGAATTCTCTTTACGTCATCGATGATGGAGTGGATAGAAATGATGTTGCAAACCTCATCCTAGAAAACAGTGGAACAGTCTTCTATGGACTGTTCTGCTTTGGGGGCTTTGTTTTGTTTTGTTGTTCCTGGCTTTATCCCTGTGGGGAAAAAAAGTTAAGCCTTTAACTCAAATTATAGTATGACAAAAACAGCAACAACAGTGCAATGCATGCTGTCCCAGAGCTATCATTGTTCAACTAAATGTGTTTTAGTTGAAACACATTTAGTATGTTTCAACTAAAAAGTAAGAACACATCAGACCATCAGTGTGATGGGAAAATGAAGCATTACTAAAATTCCAGGTGCCACAAAAATGACTCTTTACAACTCCTATTGGCACAAGTATAGGAAACATACTGACTTCCAATTCTGAAGTCTTGCCTCTTTTGAGATTATGTAAATTTCTTGTACCATTTCAGCTGCTTTTTTGTAAGGCTCCTTTCACTCTATATTGTGTTTATGAAATGCATGGATAATATTGCTTTAATTTTAGTTCTTTTATTATTATTGACATAAATTATTATTCTGGTTGAGTATGCCACCATTTATTACTAAAATATTCATTGGTTTTGGTATAAAGTTTGGTTGTTATAAATAATATTACGAACATTCTAACATATATATTTTATTTAGACGTATATTTGCATTTGTGATGAGTATTCACTTCTTGAGGGTTGAGTCGTATAAGTAAACTTTCAGTTCGTATTTCCCACTAGATTTCCAAACTGGTTGCACCGACTTTACAGGCAGCAGTATCTACATGTACAACTTTGTCCACATTCTTGCCAAAACCACGAACGTGTGTGTGTGTGTGTGTGTGTGTGTGTGTGTGTGTGTATACAATGTAGGCATGTGTAGATGTGTAGATCAAGACATTTATGTGGCAGTCAGAAGACAACCTTGGCATAGCCTTACACCTTCCCCAGAATCCCATTGCTGGTTTTCTGTTGTATGCACTGAATGACCCAGCTTCTAAGGATTCTCTTGTTTCTGCCTCCCATTCCCCTAGAGAAGAACTTGGCAATGTAGAAGAGCCTGCCACAGATGTTCACTCATTATGTGAATTCTAAGAATGTGAACCAGGATCTTCATGCTTGTTCAGGCAAGCCTTTTTACCCACCAAAACATTTTCCCACCTTAAAAGCACTTTCAAACCTTTTAAAAAATGTTTATTAATTACTCTTTGTTCACTTTGTATCCCCTCATAAACCCCTCCGTCCTCCCCTCCTAATCCCACCTTCGCTCCCCTTTCTCCATGCATGCCCTCCCCAAGTCCACTGATAGGGAGGTCTTCCTCTCCTTCCTTGGTGATCCTAGTCTGTCAGATTTCATCAGGAGTGGCTGCATTGTCATCTTCCATGGCCTGGTAAGGCTGTTCCTCCCTCTGGGGGAGGTGATCAAAGAGCAGCCAGTCAGTTCATGTCAGAGACAGTACCTGTTCCCATTACTATGGAACCCATTTGAATACTGAACTGCCATGGGCTACATCTGTGCAGGGGTTCTAGGTTATTTCCATGAATGGTACTTGGTTGGATTATCAGTCTTAGGAAAGACCCCTGTGCTCAGATTTTTCAGTTCTGTTGCTCTCCTTGTGGAGCTCCTGTCCTCTCCAGATCTTACTATTTCCCACGTCTTTCATAAGATTCCATGCACTCTGCCCAACAGTTGGCCGTAAGTCTCAGCATCTGCTTTGATAGTCTGCAGGGCAGAGTCTTTCAGAGGCCCTCTGTGGTAGGCTCCTAACTTGTTTCCTGTTTTCTTCTTCTGACGTCCATCCTCTTTGCCTTTCTGGATGGGGATTGAGCATTTTAGCCAGAGTCCTTCCTATTGATTAGTTTCTTTAGGTGTACAGATCTTAATAAGTTTATCCTATATTATATGTTTATATGAGTGAGTATATACTGTGTGTGTCTTTCTGCTTCTGGGACAGCTCACTCAGAATGATCCTTTCCAGTTTCTACCATTTACCTGCAAATTTCATGATTTCCTTGTTTTTCATTGCTGAGTAATATTCCATTGTGTAGATGTACCTCAATTTCTGTATCCATTCTTCAGTTGAGGAACATCTGGGTTGTTTCCAGGTTCTGGCTTTTACAAATAAAGCTGCTACAAACATGGTTGAGCAAATGTCCTTATTGTGTACTTGAGCCTCTTTTGCATATATGCCTAGGAGTGGTGTAGCTGGATCTTGAGGAAGCGCTATTCCTAGTTATCTGAGAAAGCGCCAGATTGATTTCCAGAGTGGTTGTACAAGTTTCAAACCCTTTTTAAAAGTTCTTTTTAATCAACATTTGTGATAAGAAATGTGGTTTTAACTGCTATCAGCTGGATTTTTCATACCCCCAGATTTATATATGTTATCTTGGTACCTACTACCATGAAATCTGCTGGTATTTAAATAGCTCTTTCTCCTTCTTCTTCTTCTTCTTCTTCTTCTTCTTCTTCTTCTTCTTCTTCT